GAAAGAAAGAAAGAAAGAAAGAAAGAAAGAAAGAAAGAAAGAAAGAAAGAAAGAAAGAGAGTGTCAGTGTTCCAAGTAATGCACCCATTGAAAGCAGAACTCTGAGGCAGGTAGATCCCTCAAATGACATATTTATTGGATACATCATATTGGCACAGCCAGTGAAAACCAACTCTGACAGTTCCCATCATTTTCACCTAATTAAAAGAATAAAACTCCCAGGTGTCACTGGTGTCATAAGTCACTTTTTTTTTCAGTGCCATTGTAACTTTGAATGATCACTAACCCAACAGTTGCAGGTTGAGGACTACCTTTGTTTTCAAGCTGGGTGGAAGACAATGATGATTTAAAATGAAATTTGCTGTGCCTCAGTTGGGATATCTTGCTGTATTTTGTTTGCAATTGCAAGTCAATAATTCTATGTTTAAGACCTACCCATGGCTCATTTTGCTCCAGGTGCATCATCTACTGACTTGAGAGCCCAAAAGCATGCAATTTGTCATTTATTTGGAGTTACCAAGAAGAGTGATAATTATTGTGCTGCAAAATGTGAACAGACCTTGAGGCTGAAAGTCTTTCAGTGCACGTAGCCATACCCTCCTTTCTATTTTTTATAAACCCTCCCTTCCAATACAGAGCAAAGTTGGATTACGCATTTTGCTACCTTGAAACGCTTTCTTAGGAATCCATGTGGAACTCTTTTCACTTTCTCATAATTGACACCTGGATTTAACTGCACTCCGTAGAGGAGCTGTGCCAGTGTCTTGGTTTCCAAAATTTTCAAAACAGCTGGTACATACCGGGCTCCTCCAGAGGAAAAGAAAGAGAGGATTACTGCTGATCTCTTCTCATTCTTCAGAGCAGCCTGACAGATTTGAAAATGTCGCTTCCCTGAATAATGTAGCGCAAATCCCAGCTACTTAAAACAGATTCTTGTTCAATTAAGTGTCCTTGGGGAGCAGGGGTGGGCTTCAAAAACTTCATCAACAGGTTCTCTGCCTGGTTGCTGTGGGGGCATGGCCATGGTGGGTGTGGCCTAGCCATCCTCCTGCACCATGGTGGGGGGAGGGGGGCATTTTCATGCTCCCCGGGCTCCGGAGGCTTTCCTTGATCCTCTGGGAATGTGAAAACAGCCTCCCCCCAGGTTCTGGAGGCCAGAAACAGCCTCATTTCTGACCTCCTGGAACTTCTGAGAGGCCATTTTTCACCATCCCGAAGTCTCCATGCAGGCTCTAGACTTACCTCGCATCCAAAACAAGCTGTGTGGAGACTCCTGGGAGGGGAGGGATGGGGTGGGAAGGGCAGGAGAGGGCGGGGTGGGTGGGATCAGCCAGGGGAGGGATTTGATGGTTCTCCAAATAAGCCATAATGTTAGCTACGGGTTCTCCTGAACCTGGGTGAAACCATAGCAGCACACCCAGGGGTGGGATCTGACCAATGTAACTACCGATTCGATGGTTTACGATTTGCAGAGACATTCCCTAAACTCTGCTAAGATGTTACATATTGATAACAAAAAAATTCAGAAACCAACCCACAAGCTTGGAGAATGAAACTTCACCCTTATCCTACACACGAGCTACAGATATTCCCCACTTATGGAAATTTATCATATTTATATATGACGCATTAGCTATATCTACATTTACATCTTTTTCTGTCTGTCGATATACCTTCTTATCTACCCATCCATCCATCCATCCATCCAGGGAATGACCTTGGGAAATGAAAAGCAGGGTGGGAAAAGAGGCTGCCTAGGCAATAGTCAGATAAGAGAGACCATAGTCTGCAGCTACATAATGGGTGGAGAAAGGTGTTATGGTTCACTGGCAGCCTGTGCAGATGACAGTGGAATCGGACAGTGGGGAAGAACGGGGACCAGTCTGGAGAGGACTTGGATGAGGGTCCTGTGTCTGATGCAGAGATGGGGCCAGGACCATCTCTGAGTGGGCTGCTACCTCCGGAGCTTTGGAGTCCGGTAGCAGCAAGGCAGAGGACCCAGGGGATCCTGTTCCCAGTGCAACGTGTGTGTAGAGCTGCTAGAAAGTGAGAGCAGCTAAAACAAAACTTACTCAGGAGTAAGGCTGGGAGGTGATTGCCCCTCCCAAAAGGTATAAAGGGTAGGCAAAGATGACAAAACCTTTGCAGGAACCTTTGCAAAGTTGTTCGTTTGGTTGAGATTCGTTTTTGAAGTTCTTTGTACTTCGGTTGTTGTTTTTTTCTAGTTTATTTGATACTTCTGTTATTGGCAGCACTTCACAGGAAAGAAAGGTGGGTGCTTATCTCGAGGGACTGTTTGAGATTCATTACCAGTTGGGAATGAATATAATTCCCAGCGTTGCAATAAAACAAGACTTGTTTTTAAAATAAACTTGTGTGTAATTACAGTCTCAGAAGCTTTGGTCAGAACAAAAGGGGCCCAGAAGGGACTCTCACTGTCAAGGATGAAACTTTGGCAGCCATGTACCCCTTTGTTTCAATTTGCCATTAGAGTAAGGTGGGAAGAGGTGTTGCTTTCAAATGGGTTAGTTGGAGAAATGAAACTTCTATGATCCAGCTGAAGACAGTGGGAGCCTGGAGACCTTCCAAGGCCATCTCAACAGGTGTGGAGTTGAAGCAGATGGTTCCCATAACAAAGACAGCTTGTTTACATGGACTACGCAAGAGGTTGGGGATTTGGCTGGGAAAAATATTTTGTAATTCTATGAAATGGTGTTTGAAAATCTCAGAGTTAGTTTTGCCTTGACGTTACCATGCAGTGTATTCAATAAACAGCAATATTTTTGGAAATGGGATGATCCCAGAGTTTTATTTGGCTTCCCAAGCTGGATGTTGACACTCCCTAGCTTCTCTGAACGTCAAAGAGATGGTATATGATTTGTACTTTCAGACTTGCAAGTTCCTGTTTAAGTACCCTTACAATACAATAGATACAGCTCATCTTGTCGTGTTTCCTATCTGCTCTACTGGGAAAGCTGAGAAAGAGTGACTCACTATCAATTGTAGTTATTTTGAGTTTCTTTCTTGAGGGTCCAAGATCCATTTAAGATCTAACAAACAAGGAGAAAATGTTGATTTAGGCTGCTGATTATATTTTTCCAACAAATGAGAGAATATTAATCCTTGATCTAACATAGATCGACCTGTCCAAAGCCTCTCTTCTTTTAGCCAGTCTAGGACCTTCCAAAGTCTACCCTAGTTTTTAAACAATCTGGACAGATAATTTCTGGAAGACTCACCCTAGAACAATTATAATGGCAATAAAGAAAATGCTAATGTTTTACTGTAGAATCATAAAGGGAGAAAGAAAATGCAATTGCAATTTAGTTTCAGGAGCAAAAGCAGATGTCTAATGCTTTTCTAAAGAAAACTTTGGAAGTAAAGGAACCATTGTCCTTGCCTTGTCCTTTTCAGGTAACTGTAGCTCACATTCTCACTGATTGGGAATTCTAAGAGTTAAAATCCCCAGCAAGCTTGGGAAGTAACAAGATGAGAATGGCTGGTTTACATTGCATAAAATGTATTAATAAGGACTGCTGGGGGAATTTGATTTTGGCAAACTTCAGTATGCACTGATTTAATTTGTAGCCTCTTAGCTTGATGTGAAGATCATGATTAAATAACTCACCTGTGATCCCACTTCCATAGTGGTCTGATAAAGAGACACGGTGAATCAATGCCTTAATAAGGCTGGAGATAGCCTTTGTTGTGGTGATTTGAGCCCCAGTGTTGTGTGGCGGGATAACTTCCCATCACTTACCTCAGCTGCTGGACCATCCCAGAGTTGACGCTGATTTGTGAGGTGACTTTGGTGGACAGGGAAAGCCATTTGTTTTCTTTCCTGGTGTGGAGCTAGCTGTGGTGCTCCGTGGATTGTGTAAGAGTGTGAGCCGAATGAGTTAGCAGTCTTAAGGCAGCCAAATAATTACTCCATATTAGCATTGCAGTCTTCTGGCTAATATAACATCACCATGTGATAAATCAGTAATAAATAATGTTCTGATATTCCTACCTGAAGAAAAATATGAAAATGAACTTGAAAGAGATTCGTTTAGGAAACAAGGCATTGAAACAATGAATGGATGCTGAAACAGATTGCACAAGCAAACTTGCTTCGGTAGAAGCAGGTACCTAAATTCCTGACCCAGATCAGACTTTTGCATGAGCTGGGCTTGAAGGATCCCTAGATTGATCTTTAAAAGCTTTCAGGTCATCTGAATCCAATACCATGCAGAGTCCTTTCAACAGAATCACTTCTGACGTTTATTTATTTATAACTCACCAAAACCATGCAAAAGAGGCTCACATAGACCTAGATAAACTTTGCTAATGTGGTGCTAATTTATAAAATTACATTGGCAGGTACTCCTTGACTTGCAAGAGTTCATTTAGCGACCGTTCAAAGTTACAATGGCACTGAAAAAAGCAACCACTTTCAGAGTTATAATCTTTGTAGCATCCCCGGGGGTTGTGTGATCAGAATTCAGACGCTTAGCAACTGGTTCATATTTATGTTGGTTGTGGTATCCTGAAGTCATGTGATACTCTTTTGCAATCTTTTGACAAGCAAAGTCAATGGGAAAGCCGGATTCACTTAACAACCGTGTTACTAACTTAACCACTGCAGTGATTCACTTAACAGCTGTGGCAGGAAAGGTTCAGGAGTGGGCTGCTACCGGTGTCAGGATTCTGGCAGTTACTCCAATTAAATCATGAGCCTTGATCCACACTCCCAAAACTAAAGAGGATTTATTTGAAGTTACCATTCTACATCCGGCACTAACCTTGGCTAGGTTTTATGAGTTGACAAGCGGTTCACAGTGGTTTGGGCGACCTGGTTGTTAATTTTATGGCCAGTCTGGAGAACTGGCAAATCCCAACTCTGGCTGGCCCTGCTCACCTT